GTGATTGATGACTATGTTGAAGACAGGAAAAAAGCAAGTGAAAAATCGATTTTCAAATATCCAATACTCTAGAATCTTCTTTTCACAAGTTTAAACATTATATCGTATTTTTTAGTCAACATAATGGAAATTAAAACGAGACTTGGGTGAAATTATGGATTTTAATAAGATTAGAATTTTATGACTGAGATTATATAGATAATATTATTCTAAATATACTATTTAAACTATGTAGATTTGTTCTCTCTGTGAATGAAATAGATCGGGTTTCAGTATTTTGCGTTTGAATACAGTAAGTCTTGATATTTGTAAAGGTACTTATAGATGGTAGTTTACATTTATATAAACAAATTTTTAACTAACTTACGATGAAAAATTTCATGCAAAAAGTCTTGACTTATTTTTCATCGGCTAAGACGTTTGTGAATAAGCTTGAGTATACAAGCATAGAATCTGCATAGAAAGTTCTTTCTAGTTTTGTGTTCAAACATGTTCTATTAGGCCTTGTCTGCCAGTACAAATCATGCCTTTAAAGAGCATTAAAATATGGTTTCTAACAGAAACGAAATTCGGCAGAACATACCGATCCGTTAGATTTTGCTATTTCTTTCGATTCATCTCAGCCTAGGGTGTTTATCTTTTTTTGATAAGATTACCAGTTCTGTTTTCGGATAGATTATGGAAACAATACTCCGCACTTTTTTCAGACAACATGAAGAAAACTCAGGCTTAAATATGAAGCTATTTCTAGATTAATGTTCCTATTGTTTTACTCAATATTGTTTTTTTTACTTTTCTACGCACTACTGCAAAGATATTCACAGAGAGAATATTTCAGATCATTCGTAGCCATTATTTTACTTAACTTTATTAAAAATTGGGTTTTTTTAGTTCTCAAAAGATTTTATCGGTTCATCATTGTTTTTACATTCAGCTTGAACTCAATATGGTAAGTCAATTTCTTTCAAAATTTCGATCATGTCATTTAAAACAACATCGTGCGTTTTTCTACCATGACTGCAGAGAATGGAATGTTGTGTTTAACCGGAGAAGAACAGCACAAATCAATGTATCACATTGGAATGTATAACGAAGTTCTTCGTTCTAAGAGAATGCTGATCAGAGAATAATATCGAGCCGAACTCGATTCAGAAAAAAAAACGGTTCGATTCATTCTGTGATGCTCACTATTGAAAAACAATACCTTGTGGAACATTTCTCTATATGCAGTGAAAACAGCTTTCGATATAACGTGTGACCTTCAAAGAATTACTCTCGAAATTATTTATGGTCTAACTAAACAGATTTCATATTATTCTAAAGCAGGGTTTCTCTAGTTTTAAGCGTACTGGTTCCATTAGAGCTCAGAAAAGAGCTTCCAGATAATTTTTTTTGCCGTTTCCTGTGACCAATATTTTTGGAAAAACAGATTGAAACCGTGGATTGCTCTTCTTACTCGCATGACTCGTTGTAGAAGATAAGGCCTTCGCAAAAGTCCTCTCAGGTCTAAATTTTAGAAAAAAATTTCCTTCAAGACAATAATAAAGTTGAAGCCACATTAGCGGAAAATTTGACTTCACTAAATAAATATTGTATGAAACCTGTGTGAAAAATTCTTAAAACGTGAATAAAGAAGGTATACATGATAGCGAAGAAACTACTTGTTCAATTGATACAGCTTTTCGTGAGCTCAAAATGGAAAAAAACAAGAATAAAAGCTTGAAAACAAATCTTATTAGAGCATATTATTACGAATAAAGTAGAGTTTTCCAGTTATGCGACTTTGTAGAGAATTTTACGGACTATCTTTTGAAAAAATGTAAGCCAAATCATCAACAATTGGAAGAGATATGTAGAAAACTCTTGGAGGGTAATTCTTGTTATGGGTAACACGTTCGATTCTGTAGATATATTTTCAAGGTTGTTCACGCATGTTTTAACCCATAAAATATGGTTAACATTTGGACATTAAATTTTGGATTACTTGTTAATCTATTATTTATGATAATATATACAGAATTCAAGCTTTATGAAGAGATTGTAATTTTGTTAATTACTACGATCTTAATGTGATATATCGAATAAGAATAGATTTTTATGAAAAGATAGTTTCATATTGCAAAATTCATTAGAAAAAAATTGCCCTGCTTACCCGAAAATCGTTGTAGTAGTAGCAAGTGGATCAAATGTTTGTTAGTCTTGTGATCGAATTCAACACTTTCAACACGAAAACAAACACCTGGTGTAACAAGTTCTTCTTCTTCATTAGTATATTCGGATAATGGACTAAGATCAGCAATAAAAGCTATCAATACTTCCATGATGAACAATGTATTTCCAAATTCTTCTGCTTTTTCACGATTCCGACTACAAGACGTATACGCTTGAAATGATCCATATGCCTTGTTGTCTTTAGCCATTTTTTCATAACTAGCAATCTGTTCTTTATTTAGTTCGGCTCCTCGGTAAA